GGACACAGGTCCCGAAAGGGGTGGACACGAGGTGGTGTGCCAGCAAGAACACTGGCCCCGAATAGGGTGGCACGAGATGGTGTGCCAGTAAGGACACTGGGCCCAAAGGGGGTGGCACAAGGTGGTGTGCCAACAAGGACACTGGCCCCAAAAAGGGTGGAGACGAGGTGGTGTGCCAGCAAGTATACTGGGCCCAAAGGGGGTGGCACGAGGTGGCGTGCCAACAAGGACACAGGTCCCGAAAGGGGTGGACACGAGGTGGTGTGCCAGCAAGAACACTGGCCCCGAATAGGGTGGCATGAGATGGTGTGCCAGCAAGGACACTGGCCCCAAAGGGGGTGGAGACGAGGTGGTGTGCCAGAAAGGACACTGGCCCCGAATGGGGTGGACACGAGGCAGTGTGCCAGTGAGGACGCTGGGTCACGAAGGGGGTGGATTGGGAGGTCCCACATCGATTGGAAAAAGGAACGAGTGCCAGCGAGGACGCTGGGTCTCGAAGGGGGTGGATTGTGAGATCCCACATCGATTGAGGAGGAGAACTAAACATTTCTTATAAAGGTGTGGAAACCTCTCCCTAACAAACGCATATAAAAAACCTTGAGGGGAAGCCCGAAAAAGAAAGCTCAAAGAGGACAACATCTGCTAGCGGTGGTGAGCTTAAACGGTTACAATCATAATCATACTCATACTCATAATAAGTCAAGAAACAACTTACCTCTCCTGAATGACAAGTGAAAAACCTCTTTATAATAGAAAACCAACTCCCTTGCTTTCCCATCTTCCCTGCATCAATTTCTCACCCTGAAAGAGAAGGAAATGGAAGCTTCAGCTTCAGTACAGCCATTTTTACAGTATCTATAACCAGTAATAAACTCATTCTTCTACTAATTGCTTGCCCAACATCGATCAAACAAGAACAAATACAAGTAAAAGCATGCATACCAAAACTCCTACCAAAAACAGATGTTCTTCAGTGATGAGTAGCAAAATAAACCATATGGGCATAAATCAGTATCAAGTTGATCACCAACCAAGAAAAGTAGAAGCAAAAATCCCTACCAAACCCCAAAAGGGTTCCACCCAAACTCCCTGATCGATATCATACCTGCTAAGAACACTACTCCGGGGTACCTTACATCCTTCAACCAGATAACAACAAGCACAAGGACAAGCAAGAAACAAAAACAGATAACATTTCACAGCGAAACAAAGCCATAGGTTGCAAGAATTAGCAGCATGAAGTCCACATCCAACACAGAACACAGACAAATTTTAACCAAACCCCAATTTCCAATAGAGAAAAAGGGGAAAGGGATTAATCTGAACAAGTTAAGCATGAACAGTAGCGAAGAACACCAACCACTAAAAACCCAAAAAAGCTTAACCAAAAAAAACAGTACCCAGAATGATTCCTGTGAGAGATCTTCGAAAGTCGCCCTTCCAAAAAGCTGTAAACAACAACCAAAAGGGGAAAAAAAAGAAAAAAACAGAGACAAGGGTTGTCTCTATTTCAACTTGGGAGGCTTCTTCCTCAGCTATATGCTGAATTGTTGGAAGAAAAACCTTGTTGGGGGCAGCCCCTTTCTCGTTTTCCTCTCATAGAACTCCGGTTTTCTCAAGATATGTATGCGAAGAACAAGAAGAAGAAGATGATGATGATGAAAAAGGGAGAAAAAGGGGGGAAATGGGTGCCAAATTTCTTAATGGTTGAACCAACTTTAACTTTATAGTGGGTGTGGGGCGGGGGAAGGGGAGACTGGGTTAACAACTCAACAGCACATCAAACGTGTTGCCGTGCGCTTGCTTGCCTGCTTGTTGCCGGCTTGCTTGCTCAACGGTTGAATTGTGAAGATAGGCATCCTATAAAGAATTGTGGACTCTTCTTCCCTTTCTTTTTTGTTTCCATTATCACTTTTCTTCTTTACAAAATATCTTTCCCTTTCTTTTATTTTCACCCCAAATTACATTTTTAGTTTCCCCAACGGTTTGATCCTCGATCGCTATAGTAAATTTCGTCCGTTCACGACCTTCTATGAGGAGGATCCTCTTCTTTTATTTTAGATTTAGAACGTGTACTTCCTGTGATTTGAAACGGAGGAGAGAGCTCTTAGGCTCATCTCCTTCGTGGAAAGGAAGTTCTTCGTTGGAGAGGGACCAACCTCGACGACGACGACCTCAAGTTCTTCGACACACGGTGCCTTTGATTTTTTTTTAATATAAAGTACATTAATTAATTTAATTTATCATTAAAATAATAGGATGATATTATAAAATATTAAATAAATAGAAGATGGATATACATTTAGAAGAAAAATTGGTAAATATTATTTTTTAACTAAAATAAAAATAATTTTATAGTCTAAGTGAAGGGTTACATTTATATTTTATTAATAAATTATTAAAAGTCAAAATTAGTCATCATCAATCACACTAATTCGATTATTGTCGTGCAGGCAATATTTAAGTCAATAACATAAATTCTTCTTTTAAAAAAATGTTTTCTTAGAATAAAAAAATAATAATAATAAATTTAAAAATATCAACTTTTCCTATCTATATTTAATATTTAGAAGTCAAAAATTTGAATTGCATGACATTAAAGTATACGTAGTTGTGATGTAACAGCTAGATCCAGCGCCACCAGATATTGTCCTCTTTGACTGTATTTTAATGGTATCAGAGCCAGGCGCCGGACGATATGCTAGCCTTCTCGTTGTTTCTCGAAGGGGGTAGACATGAGGCGGTGTGCCAGTAAGAACGCTGGGCCCCAAAGGGAGTGGATATGGTGGCAGTCCCACATTGATTGGAGGAAGGAAAGAGTGCCAACGAGGACGCTGGGTCCCAAAGGGGGTGGATTGTGATGTCCCACATTGGTTAGAGGAGGAGAACAAAACACCATTTATAAGGGTGTGGAAACCTTCCCGTAGCAGACGCGTTTTAAAACCTTGAGGGGAATTCAATCATGATTTTAAAGCCAAAAGGGAAAGTCCAAAGAGAACAATATCTCCTAGGGTAGATCTCGACTATTGATTTTATAATTGATTATCTCTCAAAATTCAATCAAAAATAAAATTAAATGCGTTAATAACTATTTAAGAAGAGACTCCATAATTTCTTTATTTTAGAAAAAAGTGTTTTAATTCCAATTAATTCAAACGAGTTTAATTTAATATCCTAATAATTATATCTTAAAAAGAAAAAAGCAAAATTTTGTGGGATTAAATGAAGAGGGAAGAATATGATGGAAAATTCAATATTAAATATAATTTAAGGTTTTTTTTACAAAGTTGACTTTTCTTCACTTTATAAAAAATTTAAAAACACAGTCAAATTTAATAATTAAATAATTATTGAAAACTAATAACCAATTTTGACTGGAGTTTTTAAGACACTTTTAATTTTCTAATTTCTAGGTTTCAAAATAAAAAATTAATAAAATTTTATGATAATTTAATCTTTAAATTTCTTTACCCAAAATTTTAAAATAAAAATAAAAATTGGGCAGAATTTTGACGAAATTAAGGAAATTGGACATTTTGACATTTTGAATTTTCATAAAAATATAATGACGACATTTTCTTTAATGAAAAAAATAACTCGAATGTCAAAAATGTCATGTCATTGACACGTGGCTGTATAGAGGAATGTATGCCAATTTTATTAAAAATTAAAGAAAATGTCAAAAACCAAAAAATAAATTAATTAGTTTTAGTCAAATATTCAAATGCCAGAAAATTATTTAATTATAAACGACAGGGCATCTGCTTTTTAATTTTTTAATTTTTTAATTTTTTAATTTTTTAATTTTTGGTGTCCAATTGATTAAGTTTAAAATATTAAAACCCAAGAGACAATAAATTCTTTTCAATGGTCAAAAGAAAAAAACTAAAATCACGTTCGGATGAGATTGAGCCTAACGATATGAAATTATGATTAAAAAATCTTAAAAAATTGATAGTTAGAATATTTGTTAAAATCACCCCACGATCAAAGTTTTCTATTTATAATCCTTTTCAGAATACAGAAATATGATAAATTACAAATGATATGAAAATAATAATAAATGAATACAAAATATTTGCCTATAATAAAATGGTAAATATGATAATTAGGGAACCTATAATAAATGGTCAAATATGATACCTACAGTAAACCATAATTTAAGGCTAAATATCTTTAACTATAGCCATGCACAACTTGTCAAAGGGACTATAGTTTTAATTATCTTTTTTTTTTTTTTTTTTGTAAGGAACCCTACATAAAGTTTATTTAAAAAAAAGAGAGAGAGATAATAAATAAAAAGAAATTATTTTAATGTTGATAAATAAAATAAATTTATAAATAACATAAAATACATAAAGCTTTTCATTATTAGGAATCAAAATTAAAAAATAAAATAAAGAGAAGAAAAAGAAGAAGAAAAAAAAGTGTCCATTGATTCCTTCCATTAGCTGTAATAATTATATGAACTTAATTTAGGGATGAAAAATTAGGCATTCATTGGCTTTTGTTCAAAAGTACCCTCCCCACTTGACCCACAAATTTTTAGCTTAATAAAAAAATTAATGGAAATAATTGGAATTATGAGGGCAATTTAGTAAATAGCCATTTCATTTGGAATCTTTCAACTTCTTTTTCTTAATAAAACAATTTTTGTAAAGAAAAAGAAAAAAAGGAATTATTTAATATGTCTTACGACATTATTACATTATTAACATAATAGCCATAAACCGGGTGTTGTTTATTCAAAATTTTGTTTATAATAAAAATAAAAAAATATGTTAATTTTAAAATTTAATTTAGAACAGTTCAACTAATAACCTAACTCAAACTATACGAGTTTAGTTGGGTTAATCGAATGATTTTTTTAAATAACGTGCATAACTATACTTCATTTATGTACGTGTACGATGGAGATGAACTCAAAATTTGAGAAAAAAGAAAATATAAAATCATCATATTTATTGTCCACATAGAGATCAGAATCCCCATTGAAAAAAGAAAATAAAGGCATGCAAAGAGATTTCTTTATTGACTTTTACTTTTCTTTAATGACTGCAAAAGTGAAGAAGGAATCCTCTTTCAAACCTTTATCATTTGGTTTCTACTCTTCTCTCATTATCTATTCCACGACGAGTTTTCACATCGCGACGTCGTTTGTTAATGATTTTCTTTGAAAAACCCTTCTCGACTGATGAACGGGACGAGGATGAATGCGGGGCTACGGCTTTTACAGATACTACATCCTTATATTAGCAGAAACTCTCCCAACAATCATCTACTTAGGATATTGTTCACAACTATTTTTCTCATTGGAAAAAGTTTTTCCGATGTCCTTTTTGCAGTCATTAAAGAAAAGAAAATGTCAATAAGGAAAAATTTGCGTTCGGTTACTCGTTCAACTTGTAGACATAATAGACATCATAATGTTAAACTCGCCGATCAATGTCATATCTAAAAGCAAAAACATTACTGGTATTGTTTATCTTCTTCATCCAAAATTACCTTGAAGTTGTTATCAACGAACACCAGCCTCAGCGACCCGTCTTTTCTCTCGAGCTACTAGCATTTCATAATCCTGCAATATGCAATACATGGCATCGATATGAATGCATATGATCAATATTTTTTTTCTTCCTTTTCTTGTTAATGAAAAATAATCACGAGTTACAAGGAAATTATAATAGAAAAACTTTCATAGTTACAAAAGTCCGAGTAGCACTTTGATTAGAGGCCAGGTACTAAGTACATTCAGCACGCGATTGTCAAAATTCTTGTAGTCATCATGAAAAATCTCATTGTTGTTTCCTATGTAACCATTGTTTGGAACTACGACCCTCCGCAATTGTATGATATTTTATCCATTTTGAGCCTAAACTCTCATGACTTTGCTTTACTTAATAATCCTATGATCAACCTCTTAATTAGCCGATGTGGGACTCCTCTCCCAACAATCCTCCACAATCCTCATTTTGAGCAAAGTATATTATAGAGCCTCCCCTGAGGCCTATGGAGCCCTTGAACAACCTCTCCTCAATCGAGACTCGACTTTTTCTTTGGAGCCCTCGAACAAAGTACACCCTTTGTTCGACATTTGAGTCACTTTTGACTACACCTTTAAGGCTCGCAACTTATTTTGACATTTGAGGATTCTATTGAGATGACTAAGTTAAGGGCATGACTTTGATACCAGATTGTTGAACGCAACTCTTCGTGGGAAACACTCACACTTTTTATTAACACCAATTGAAAAGAGATTACAAGACACTCTATAGAAACTACTGCATTATGTGCTTTGTATTTCTTGAGATGAAAACCTAAGTAAGGTGGAGGGTCAGTCAATCTGTTTCTAAGATATCTAAATCTTTTTCCAATAACTAGGTATAAAATATCTATATCATTTTCTTAAAATATCTAGATATCTTTATTCCTAAAATATATAAATCATTTTACTAAAATAAATATACAATAGACTGATACAATTATTGGACTTGACCCTATCAGGCTAGTGATACAATTATTGGACTTGACCCTATCAGGCTAGTGATGGCAAGGTTCAACGTCCTTTCGTAGTTATCAGCCGTTCAAAAAATTATAGCTTTGTCTTTGACCAACCAAACCTGAAAACACTTCCAAAACAGTCCACAATGTCCTTTCGACGATAGATATTGCAGCCGCTATAAACTTTCAGAGTTTCCACATCCTTACAACACAAATAATGGAAGGATTTCTTTTCCGAATTCTACCTTGAGTATGAACAATTGTAGCTAAAATGGCTAGAAAATACACTCTAGGGAAAGGACACACGACTCGGATGTTTAGGAGGTACGTCTTTCCCAATGGAAGGTAAGTTGATTTGTCTACGTAGTAATTCGACCATACACGTATTCATCTTCCTAAGCTTCAACAATGCAGGTAAAACTAACATCAAGTATACGTATCCTACGTTTACGTGTACGTTTTCCCTACATAACAAGGTTATCAGGGAAATTACCTTCACAATAGCCTGTGCGCAAAACTTTCCCGAAAGAACAGCACCTTCCATAGAAGCTAAATACTTCTGTTTCGTGTAGTCACCAGCTAAATAAAATCCCTCGATAGGAGATCGTTGTAAGGGGCGACAAGGTTCACAGTCGGGAACAGTCTTATAAACAGACCTGTAACCAATATCAAATTAAGGAGTCATAAATATATCGAATTTATTCTAGAAAAGACTGAACAGACTCTTAAGTTACTGATTCTATGTTTGTTTACCTTGGGGTTTTAACAACGTGGTACTTCATAATCTTAGCTTTGCTCTGATCAGCAGAAATTTCATCAGGAAATAGTTTAGCTAGTTCCATCATTGTGGCATCAATAATTTCCGAGTCGCTCCGGGAAATCCACTCTTCTGCAGGGGCAAAGACTAGTTCCAACATGGACTGGTTTGGGTTGTAATATTCCTGCATCAGAAAAGCAAGGGGAATATCACTGCTGAGAATATAAAAAGCTCCGAAAGATATGGTCAATTAGTAAGGAATCAGCAACAAATTGATCAAACGTTGTGGTTGTTGTTTTAGTGTAACGGCCTAAGCTAGCCGATATTGTTCTCTTTGGGTTTACCCTTTCGAGCTTCCCTTCAAGGTTTTTTAAAACGCGTCTACTAGGGAGAGGTTTCCACGCCCTTATAAAGAATGTTTCGTTCTCCTCCCCAACTGACGTAGGATCTCGCAATCCATCCCCCTTCGGGACCCAACATCCTTGCTAGCACACCGCCTTGTGTCCACCCCCTTTCACGGCTTAGTCTCCTTGCTGGCACATTGCCCGATGAGTGGCTCTGATACCATTTGTAATGACTCAAGCCCACTGCTAGCAAATATTGTCCTCTTTGGGCTTTCCCTTTCGAGCTTCCCCTCAAGGTTTTAAAACGCATCTGCAAGGATGAGATTTCCACACCCTTATAAAGAATGTTTCGTTCTCCTCCCCCACCGACGTGGGATCTCACATTTAGCGTGCCTTAGAGTTGAGCTTTAGTTTGATGGGTCATTTTAGTTTCTTGCTCAATCTCATATTCTCTGTTTTTCTTTATTCTATTTTCTTTTTCACTCCCCAAGGGTTTTGAATGAAAAAAAATAATCTGGAAGTATTTACATAGTTGCAATCATACCTTACATGTAACCGACATGTCAGCATAAACACTAAGAAGCGGACTCCTGCATTCAGGTAATGAAATGGAAAATACTTAGTTTCAAGTGTAAAACCAATAGAAGCATCTGATTTCATGTAATCTTAATAAACAAAGAACCTGCTAAAAAGTAAGTGATCATATGTATTCTTCAGTTTCCGGTCAAACCTGCAAAGAAAAACAATATCACCAAATTACTGATAATATAAAAGCACGTCCCATGTTTATATATCTTGAAACACTCATAAATTAATCGCCACGGAGAATGATTAGGGTATCCCAGTTAAAGCTCTCGTCATCTTATAAACATCTTTAACGAACTCAAATTCCTTAACGAACTTGGAACTGTTCGAGGCCTGAGAGTCTACATTTAGGAAACGTTGCCACCACATTGCTCCACACAACTTGAGCATGGGCAATCAACATAGGGAACTAGCTTGCTTCCACTGGTGCAGTGGAAGAGCTTACTGTACAAGATCGGATGTCATAATAATCTTGGAAAGCTAGTCCATTTAGATTTTTCGTAGTCATTCGAGTCATGATCTAGCATATCCTACCATATGTGGACATTGATAACTGGAACTCCAACTAATTTGTCCAGCTTTTTGAAGTACGGGATCTCTTTCCAGTCATTAGGTAGAAGAAGCTTCAGGATATCGACTGCGCACGATAAATGCATATCATTTTAAGTGAAATAAAAAGATATAATATAATTATGCATATAAGATTTCACCAAAAATTATGTTGTTTACCAGGAGTGGCAAATACATAGGCATCTCCTTCAATGACACTCCCATCGTTTAACAAGAACCTATTCACTGTTCCATCATTGTTTAACTCAATTTTTTGTATCCTTGAATTAAGCCGTACTTCACCACCCAATGACTGAATATGCTCGACAATTGGCTCACAAAGCCTCTCAGGTGGATTTCCATCTAAGAAAGCCATCTTAGAGCCATGCTTCTCCTACAGGAGTTACAGGTAAAAGAATTAGTGAGGCTCAGATCATAAGTAAAATTCATAATTCGATTCTCGACGAGTAGCCACGATTTCAATGACAGCCAGCATGAGCATTACTGAAACAGTTGTAGAGGTATTAAGATACTAACTAATTCATCAAATTTGTTTTGAAACCAAATAGTTAGGAAAAATACACAACGGTACAACAAAACGTCGTAGAGGGAGCGGAAACTGAAATAATTGAACTGTTTAGATCATCCATTTATCTAATTCATGTGATTGATTGATAAAGTTCGCACCAAAGAAGCATATGAAGGTTTCGAATTAGCTCGCTGAAGGCTTCATCTTGGCATTCCTATTCAAGCTGTTCATGGGGTTTTCACTGGAGTGCCTTTATATTTCCTTTTTTTTGCTTTTGTTTACTCACTTCTCGAGTTTATATCTTTGAGTATTAGTCTCTTTTCATTACATCGTTCAAAAACTTGATAAGGGAGTGAAAATTTATACCAGTAAAGGTGTGAACATTTACACCAATGAAGAGCATTAAAGAGAACCAATTCCATAACGCTATCAAAAGAAATCAATTCAATAGTCTTATTGCGCAAAGAACTAATCATACCTGAAGAAATCGATTCAAAGCAATCAAAATGCATTGCATAGAAAGTTCATCGGGGTTAATGAAGTTTAGAGCCTTTGACATAGCAATAAACACCTCAGTTGTTACACGATCAGGTACTCCCTGGAAAACAGAAAAAATAAATGTCAACACAGTTAGTAAATACTCCAAATAGCTAACAAATGAAAAGTTTTATCCCGCAATATTTTTCTCTTCATAATCTATCATGTGTAATGAGGTCATGGAGACTGGAGTACTTGTTCATTAAGCATAAGTGTAAGATCCCACATCGGTTGGGGAGGAGAACGAAGCATCGTTTATAAGAGTGTGGAAACCTCTCCCTAGCAAACGTAATTTAAAACCTTGAGGGGAAGCCCAGAAGGGAATGCTAAAAAAGGACAATATCTACTAGCGGTGGACTTGGGTTGTTACAAATGGTATCAAAGCCAGACACCGGGCGATGTGCCAGCAAGGAGGCTGAGCCCCGAAGGGGGTGAACACGAGGTGAGTCCCGAAGGGGAGTAGATTGGAGGTCCCACGTCAATTGGAGAAGGAAACGAGTACCAGCGAGGACGCTGTGTTGGTGGCAATAGAAAACTGAAGTGAGATTGAGAGAAGTAATTTGAATGATGGGGAGGGAGGTCCTTTTATAGGGGGATCCCCGGAGTTGGTTGAGATTTTTGTGGATGAAATTGAATTCACCTCCTCCTTCTCTTCCGTAGTAACTAATTCAAACTTTTATTATTAGCTTCAACACGCTGGGCCCGAAAGAGGTGGATTGTGAGATCTCACATCGGTTGGGGAGGAGAACGAAGCATCCTTTATAAGGGTGTGGAAACCTCTCCCTAGCATACGCGTTTTAAAACCTTGAGGGAAAGCCCAAAAAGGACAATATCTACTACGGTGAGCTTGGGCTATTACAACAAGCTAGCTACCATAATCTAAAATTCAGATTTTGGAGATTCCCATTGGCAATTGTATCACCTAGAATCTGAAAGTTTCTTTCAGTGTGTGCAGCTCAGAGATTCAATAAAATAGTATGGCATGCTAATCATACCCGACTTCTCATCCACTCTTGCACAGTTAAATTATCTTGAGCCTCAACATAAGATTGCCCACCAAGCATTGCCGGGAGGAGCCCAATCGCAAATTTAATTTTCTCTGGCCAAGTAAGCATCTCGTTGTTCCTTAAAATGGCCCATATCCCTGTCATCAATTCTCAAAGTTTTAGGAAACCTGAATTACTGGTAACATAAAATATTTCCAGAGACCAAAGGAAACAAAATGATGATTTATCAAATAAAGAAATGCATACAACCAGCTTCATCGGTAGACTGTGCGACTCACATTCAGAACGCACAGGGCGTTACATCAATTCAGCACAAGATGATATGACATTCATTGTCAAAGAGAGAGAAGGAATTTCGCAAAACGACCCCAAGTAACCATTATAGCTCTGAGGCATATACTTATTCAAGAACTTTGTGAGGTAAATTATCAAACAAATCTAAAAATAGTTCCAACAGACCAACTAGCTAGCTGAGTGAACCACGCTACAGTACATGTTATAAGAAGTTTCATCATTGCAAATCATGATTAGCCCTCTGTAGCACCTAAGCCCACCGCTAATAGATATTGTCCTCTCTAGGCGTTCCCTTTCAAGCTTCCCCTCAAGGTTTTTAAAACGCGTCTGCTAGGGAGAGGTTTCCACACCCTTACAAAGAATGTTTCGTTCCCTCTCCAACCGATGTGGGATCTCACAATCCACCCCCCTAGACCCAGCGTCCTCACTGACACTCGTTCCTCTCTCCAATTGATGTGAGATCTCACAATACACCCCCCCCCCCCCCCCCCCCC